GGATTTTCTCTCTTGTCCTGCGACTAGAAAACAATTCTCATACACTGTGTGTGGGTGTGTTTTTTCCATACAACATAGTAACAGTTTTAGAGATGCTTTGTTAATTTTTTTAAATTGCAAAACTTTACAATACTCTTGCTAATATATACAGTAATATGACACCATATATTGTTGAAAAATGAAGTTTGAATAATATGTACTGTATATTGATGGAGTTTAAAAATCAAGCATTGCATCTTCACCTGTGCTTTTTTGTTTTTCAATCAAACTAAATTCCCTCTTCATCCAAGACATCATAAATTTAAAAGTTTGTATTAAACATTCAAATTAAAAACACAGTTGCACCCCAAATAACAGACGTCATACGCAATGTATATGCATACATCAATGAACTCGGGCTGCCATTGATATTTGCTTTGGATATTTAATCCTGAATTGAACACGCCCATTTTGTCACTGACCAAATTTGAAGTTGTTGAGTGGTATATCAGGAGCTGAAATTTGATCTGGTGCTGAGTCAAGAATTGTTTTATGAGAGAAGAGCTAGAGATATGACTGAATTTTAATAATTAGATTATCTAGGTACTAATTATTTCTCAGGCTATTTCTGATAAGAGAAGTTTTTGTGTTTCCCAAGCCAGGATAAAGTTCATGAGCAGAAAACTGAATTTACCTTCTACTGACACTATAGTGTGGCATCACTTGTTGACCAACAAACATGGCATCCTGCATTTTTGGTTTCATTGTATCCTTCATAGTTGTATTATGTGTTTCCTGCACTGTCAATGCAGGTAAATATGCAAACTTTTCTCATTCCAGTCAAGAAGTGTATTTTTCTTTGCACCAAATTTATAATATATAGGAGTCAGCAGGTGAGTCAAAATTATCTTCACTTTTGCAGTTTTTCCACACCACATACAGTATTTAGGTTTGTCAAACAGCTTTATGTATCTCAATGCTCATTTTCATTTATATAGTAAGGTTGCTACCCCTCTGGTCTGATTATATGCTGAGAGTTATAAATTTATAAATTGCTGAATCGCTATCAGTTTTGCTTCAGTTTAATGTTAGTACTCAAATCTAATATGGTTGTTTATGGAGCAATAACATCATTACTTCACTGCAAAGGTGTGTTGCTAGAGATATATCTTTACTTGACTCAAATAAATTTCTGAAATTTCAAAACAAATACAGCCCTTGTGCAGCAACATTAGCATGTACGTTTTGCAAAATTTTTTCCCCATCTGTCATTCATGTTTGAAAATCTTTCATTCATCCACAACAAAACAAATTTGTCAATGAGTAGCAGCTTTTTTTAGCATCCTGTTCTATGTGAAAAATGCAATAAATCATCCTAGAAATAGTTCATGAAAATTGTATGGATAATCTTTCTCAACCCACCCATTTTATGCATGCTGGGCATTACATAGTGCAGTAATATTCATCAGGCATATTATTTTGCATTTACCATCTGGACCATCAAAGTTCAAAATGTTAAGCTACAGGTTATTCAATCCAAAAATTCATTTAATGAATGACAGAACAAAAAATGAATAGAGTAAGATAAAATGGTTTCAGCCATCTATATTCATAGCGATATTTTTTGAATCTTATTTTTATGATGCTTTTATTTTGTCTTGGCAGAATCAACAAATGCAGCAACTTCAAAGTCGAAAGTTGTGAAATTTCCAGCATTTCCATATTTTGTCAAGACAAAAATTATGAGATTTCCCCTGCACTCAAAGATGGTGCGGGTTAAAAGAAGTAAATAAGCTACAGGCCACAAACAAATGTTTACCATAACATGCTTTTTTTGTCAACAGGAATGGCATTTGTGCATGAAGAAAAACCAGACATTAAGAAACAGACAATTTCCCCTGTCAACACTCAGCAAATGATTTTGGAACCCCTGAGGAACATTGGACCCATGTCTTTCAGGGAACTTGGTGTGTTTAGAATATATTTTGGGAAACATGCATGACATGGGTCTGTTTTTTACTAAAGAATTACAGAAGGGTAAAATAAGTAAAATTCTTGGCCTTGATCTTCTCAGAAATGAGTTGTAATACTTGTAAATATGCAGAACATGAAAGAAAGAGCACATTTTCCAAATTAGTGATATACAGTTTTGTACTCTACTTCTGTTACAGAAAAGCATTCATTTAAATCTTTGTTGCTTTTCCCAAAAATAATTGGGCCCCAAGAATAATAGCCCAAAAGATCCAGAAGAAATTAGAGTTATATAGAGGTTTCAGAGAAATATCAAGTTAGGAACTCTGATCTTGATCACATATTTTTCAAGGGGAACTCAGACAGGGGTTAAACAAACATTTGACATACACATGTCTTCAACTTGAGTTGGTCAGTTTTAGCAAGGTCCAAATTTATTGTACTGTATATGCAAGGTCATTAAAAAAAAGTTCACATACCTGTATCAATCAGATAGATGATACATGTATCACCTATAGGCATTTATTGTGTCAGGATGATTCCTCTAAATTAATTTTGGGACTCTGGAGATGTCTAAGAATTGCCTGAAGATTACTTCCAGAGAAATTAATTTCACAGTTGATTGCTCAGCATTTATCTTCCCTTATATAGGTAAAAAAGAGAACGTGAAAACAACTTTTGGAGGTCATGATGGCTATACAGCTGGAGGGAGGCACAGCTTTTCCACATCAGATTCAAGCATCCAAATGTCCAACAAAGGAAGCAACTTTCCACAAGACCTCATCAATGGGAATGTTAACTTGGCACAATTTATCAATCAACCAGCTACTGCTGCACCTGCTTTGTCTCACCCAGAGAGTAAGACTGTCACTCCTGTTTGCCCTCAATGTGGAAAACAGTTGAATGTAAAATGCATTTTTTCTTTGATGCACATAAATAGAAAGAGAAATTCAACCATGGGAAAAGCTGTTGCAGGAAACATCCAATGGAGGATTTTCTGCATTCAACTCAAAGGTAAAAGGCACTTATGAGGCGAGGTTGGACCCAGAGGAGCTTTTCAACTACTCAGATGACACCACAAAAACATTTTTCAAGGTAACTGTATTCTTCAAAAGAAACTTGCATATGAGTCCAATATACTCTTTTTTAATTTAGGATGCAGTCAATTCAAGAGGCACAATACAGTACATTTTTGACACCATGTATGAATTTAGGCAATCTGCCACATGATGGAAGGGAAAGAATTATTCACCAGAGAAATCTATTAGTGTTACACAGGAAAAATGCATCCAAAGCATATCTGAATCATATGTAGTTGATATCATCAAAAAAATTGAAAATGTAATGTACAGTATTGGATCTGAATGGCTTATTGAACCTCACCAAGTCAGAAACCTCACAATTTGTAAATTTTTGAAACCCTTTCTGAATTAACCTGAGAACAAAATATAACATAAAGCATAAGATACCTCCGTAACTCAAAGACTTTGCTACCCTTCAAATGTCTTCAACTTGAATTTCTGGAAACCTTTGGTGTATTTTTTGCATGATTTCTAAGGAAAGCAGAACACAAGAAAAGGGGTACTAATTAGGCAAGGCAATCCTCACCCCCAAGATCAATGCCCTGTCAACTCATTTATTCAGTTTTCTATAATTCCTTAAAATTATGAGCTGCAATTATTTCATTGCAATTAAAACTTTTATAGTATCTTTGAAAGTAGACTTGTATAGGAGGCCCTACTTTAACTGGTCTGATACATAATGTATCACTCAGTATAAAACTACTGTAATGTTTGTAAGATGAGAAAAACATAGGTGTTGTTTATTATATGATGTCACTGCTGATTGCTTTTGCTCTCCCTGTCTCATCATCCCATAAAAATGGTACAATATGGCCTATAGTTCTCCTGCTAATTTTTCAGTCTCTCTTGAGCAGAGACAATACACTTTAGAACAACTCAAAGATGAAGCATCTCATAACATGTTTATTGTATTTTATTGAAGGATGGCCAAAAACGAAGACGGAGACACATTTCCCATGCAAAAAATCGCACCGACATTGAGGTGACTTCGGATAAATCCCCATTGTCATACACTTGGAGCAAACTTGAGGTCCCAGTTCAAGCTTTCATTGTGAACCTTAACCAAGATGGCAATGAAGATGAAGCACTTGATGTAGAAGTGCAAGAGGCAGCATCACAACATGTTCCAGGATCAAACGAAGAAGCACAGAACTTGAAAACTTCTCAGCTTGATGGCAATCTTCAACTCTCTGAAGAAGACACTCAAATCAACCACACAAACATAGTTACTACGCATGAGGGAATCCCTGAACTATCATTCGAAAAAATCAACATCGAATTTTCAAATGACTCATCCAGCCAACACGGAAAACACTTTGAAACCACACTGCCGAAACCTGCTGTTGGACAGGAACATTACCCAAAGCAGTGTCACCAAAACAAAGAAAATGAAAAACAGATGTTGCCCTTGTGGCAGAAGAGGAAGGCTTCTGAAAAGCGGTCAAACCAGGTTAAAAAATAGCGTGATATCTGATCCGGGAGAAGCGCGCTGATGATCCTGAGGAGAAAGATGAAGATATGCCAGAAAATTGTGAAGAAGCTTTTGATCCCTATGCATGTTTCCAGAAGCGATATGGGCCCAAGGATTGATTGTGCTTCAGGGTTTTGAGAATGGGATAATGAGTTTAGTACTTTGAAACCACATCCTCATGTACTTCATGCACAAAACCTGCTGTATACTCAGTGTTTTTCAAAATGAACTGCATCAAGCAAGAAATGCAGTCCAATGGGTATACAACATCATGTCCTTTCATATGTGTCCTCATTATCCATGCAGCCATTGTACATTGCATGATCTGAGTACAATGGTTATACAGTACATCTACTTCAATCTTCTCAATCCGCCCCAAGTGGGGAGCTATTTTTGCTGTGATCCCCACAGTAGGTGCACACCAGGGTCACAACTGGAGCATATGGGATATTCTGGGGGTACAAGTGTGCACTCCTGTAGAGGAAATTTTGCTACCATTCCAGGGTTACACTTGGTGCACAAATGTGAAATAACAGGAGCATCACGCAAATGCACCAACTGTAACCTTGGTGTAACTCATTTGTTTACAAATGTGACCCTGAGTAATCCTGGTGTGAAATCACAATTGGTGCTCATTGGGGATATGCGTGTGCAGCAGAAGAACTTTGGTACACTTCAGGTGCACTGCAGGGTCACTGTGTAGAATTACAAACAAATCCCCAGTGTGCACCAATTTTCCCTCTTGGGGCATTGTGTTTACATTTTTGAATTATGCTTTAGCAGAATCAACAATTTATGAGATCTTTGATTACTGGCCTCATTCAATTCATATTATTAATTTCAGCTGTCATGAAGCAGGAGAACATCCTCCATGATGTGGTTATAGGAATTATGGAGACAAGTATTATTTGCGTGCCAGTATAGCAAGAATTCTTCCTCATTCATCTGTACTGTGTATAGTGATGGTGTCCTCTGTGTGTTCTGCTGAGAGACATTGCATCACACTTCTTCCGTATCAAACAACAGGCAATGTGAGCATTATTGATAGGTTTAGAAAATTTTCTCATGTGTGGAGTACTGTGGAGTGATAGTGTTGAAGTTATTTTGAAGTTTTCAACATATATAAAAAAGTGAACTAATTTTTTACTTGAAATAGCTTGGTAGCAAATTGAGCTGTGTCAATGACAAAAAAACACCACATGAAAGCTTGTCCAATTCTCTTTCAAATGGTATGTATATTTTCATGGTCCCAATTGCAATGGAATTGAGTGCCACAAAATGTGTCAGGACAATAAATGATGACACTGAATGGGGGTTTGATGAGTGTATATACGTCTTTCTTAAAAATTCCCTGGAGGATTTGCAGAGGAACTTTTCAAGCCAGCTGGAGTAGTACAAAGCCAGCCGAGGAACAGCAGTCGTCACTATTGTTTATTCCAGTTCGAGAGCCCAGTCCCAGCAGTGCATGCGGCTTCTTTCCTCGCTGGCGCGTATAATAGAAGTACAGTACAGTCCCTTTGTTCCCGTCTATATACGTCAACGCACCGTTAGCCTCTTGAGAAAATGCGGAAAGTTACGCCATGTGACTCTTTTGTGCTGTATAGTGCTAATTGAATTTCTCGCCAGGAGGCGGGATGCTCTTATTCTTTATCCAAAGAGGGTCTTTATATTATGCTTGTTATATAGAATAATCCCGCAAATAAACAGCCTTGATCCATCCTGCGGCAAAAAGAAAGGGTCTTTGTGTGAAAAAAGAGGCTGTTTTCTGTAATGAAGGGGGTCATTTGAAACCTTCAGCTTATTCTTTACTATTGTGAATGTTTTGCAAAGCGGACACAATTTTTGTCTCTGGAGGATTTTATCTTATTTTTCATTGTCGCAAATTTTTCATGGTTCCAAATGATTCATTATAGTTCTGCGAGTGATGCTGGTTCAATAATCAACGGTTCTTTTTTATTAGTTAATCTGTTTATTTAATTTGCCCATTCTTTGAAACCAAAAGTTTGCCTAGCATCACCTTTTGTTCCATTGTATGCCTAAGTATGTGTTCCCCTCTGGATGATTGGTGGTTAAGCATTTATTCAAGGTGACAGCATAACATATTATCTTGGAAAGATTACAACTTCCATGTATGTTGAAACTTATCAAAGTCTTCCTTCATGGGTTCAAGTGCAAATTTGCATAAGAAAATTATAGGTTTTCTGGTAGATTTCATGATGGGATGTAATTTCTCTGGTACATTGGGGTCTTTGCTTTTTCAAACACTTCAGCTGATGAGCGTTTTACAGTCAATCCCTACACAACAGACCTCCCGCACAATGCATGGATTTTTGCGCAACAGACCGCCTCTGCTGGAGGTGGTTTTTTCTCCTGTGCAATGGACTAAATCTGCACAACAGACTTCTGTCCATTTAAAACTAATGGTAAAAATGTTAATTTTTTAATAATTTAATTTTTATAACAGACTTTTTACAAAACAGACTAGTCTGTTGCATGAATTAAGTCTGTTGTGCGGGGCTAGACTGTATTTGAACATTTTCTACCCAGATAACAAATTTTGATTAGTCTTATGATTTTTCATTCTTATAGAAACCTTTCTTTTAGCTAGCCCACCTCTCTATACTTTTTTCAAGATATTCCACTATTTTAGCTGTTTGTTGGTCATCAACTAAATTTTTGAAAAAAAAGCCAAAACTTTTTAAGAACTTGTCAAAGTCTTCAAAAAAAAAACTTTTTTGAGTCTGCAAAAATAGTATGAAACATTGTTGGTCAACAGAAATTTTTTGGAATTTTGCTGGTCTGTGGGCCCAAAAATGTTGGGGAACACTGATATACAGCATTAATGCTTGAAATTATTTTAAATTTGGGGTCAGAGGTTCAATCAATGTTGACCATCTTTGTCCTACATTGATGCTGAATTGAAAAACAAATTTACAAGGCCATCAAGCTTG